GGCTGCGCTGGGTTGGACTGAGCGAACTGCGGCCTCTTGGGCTCCTCTGCCACGTGTGGGCTGGCTGCTGACGGGGACCGCTTTGTGTTGAGCTTCACGGGGCTCCAACTCCAGCTGGAACAGAGCAGTCGATGAGAATCGCTGTGCATTTGTAAGAGAGAAGCCGGGTCCTCCTCTGTTGGTCCGGTCCCAGCCGCAGGAGCAGCAGCAGAGATGTCCCCGTTTACACCCGCTTGCGCCCTGACGCTCCTCTGCTTCACTTCGTGACTTTGAGCTCGCCCAGATCCCCCCCAGTCCCGGCTCAGCCCCAGCCAACGCCGTCGCACGGTTTCTACAGGGATGTAAAGAACAGCACTGTGTTCCCAAAGAGCTCAGTCACTTCATGGACATACACAGCATAGTACACATATGGACACAAAATATGTTATTTATTGTGAATTTTGCAAAGACACATTTAAGCAACAAAATATACATTTGTGAACCTTTAGTTTTATACATAACAAATACAATCTGCTACCATAGCAATAAATTAAATGTACATTATTTACAACAGACATAGGCCACCAGGAACTACAAAGCACCGCCTCTCTACATAAAAAATAAACTTTGTCAGATACATTTCTTCAAGATTTATTTTCACTCTATAAATTTTCTTCACATTCTAATGATACAAATTCAGCATGTCCCTTTGCAGGGTATACGCAGTGCTACATTCATTAAAACATAACGAAAGCATGCTCTAGGACTGGGGAATGACAGACTCTTTGCCAGCTCTAGTGGAACAGAAGTTGGAGCATCAGCAAAGCAACGTGAGTGCAAGGTGCGATCTGCAGAGGTGCTGAGCTCCGAGTCCACCGGCCGAGTGGTTTTAAAAGCAGTTATCAGCACTAAGCACCTCTCGCAGCCAAGCAAAGACAGCCGAGAAACTTCAGCCCCGCTTAACAAGCCCATTCCTGCCAGCGACGCATCCTGGCCCCTTCACCTGCCATGCCTGAAGACCCTCAAAACTCCGGAAAGAGACTGAGTTTGTGCTTATGACCCCCTCTTTTTGCTCAGAAAAAAAGCACTTCCATGTTGTGCTAAAGTGTAATCCTGTGCTTGACTTTGTGGGATTTCAAGAGGATGCAAGTACACGCTGAGTGCTTTCCTGAATAAAAGCCCAGACAGAGCAGCAGCTCGCTGCCAGCTCTCCGGAGCTGCAAACCAGTCCCCAGGGCTAACGCTGGAGACGCTGGCAGAGGGGAGCAGGGTTCCCTCCCTGCTCTGCTGCGAGGGCTTGGAGCCCCCAGCACCGGCGCTGGGGACCTGGACCTGGCCTGCCTCTGCCCCTCACCAAGGTCAGGAACTGGTCCAAGCCAAGCGGCAGCCAGGGCGCAGCAGGAGCAAAGCAGGGGACCGAAACCCCAGCGAGACGGGGAACAACCTCCAAGACGGGAGAGACCTCGCCACGCAGCCGGGGCTGCCCCGATCCTGTCCCAGCTGCGCTTCGGAGCCCCTTCTGCTCCCCGTGCGAAGTCACTTCCGAGGTCATAGAAGTTACGGGCGTGTAAACGGTGGGGATCAGAAAAGAGAACACACTGCCCAGTAGTTTTAGTGTCGGTTAAAGACCCTTTCTTTTATATATATACATATATATGTGTGTGTATATAAATAAATCCTTTTATATATGTGTATATATATGTGTGTGTCACAAGCACAAAACATCTTGCAGTATATATACAGGAACACCTGCACCCGCTGCTGGAAGTGCAAATGCCTCCAAGGGTTCACACAACTGCTCAGTCCCCAGCACCGCTGCGGGGGAATTCGGGACAATTTGGGGGCTGAAAGGAGCACGCCACGCACGCCCCGCTGCAAGGCAGGGCAGGGCGCAGAAGCCACGCTGCCGCCTCGCTAGGGCAGGCGCTGCAACAGCGCCG